CCTTTCTGCCCAGAGAGCAGCATGAATGAAGAACTGCGTGTTGTCCACCTCTATAGCCACGTGATCAGCTACTATACATAAGTAATAGCTGAACATTTTTTTAAAATCAAATTTTTATTTTAAAAGTTTTAGATTTAAAGAAAAATTGCAAGGATAGTATAGAGAATTCTTGTACACCTCACACCGAATTCCCCCTATTATGAACATCTTATATTCGTATTGTACATTTGCCACAATTAAGGAACCAATATTGATACGTTATTATTAATTACAACCATTCTTTATTGGGATTTCCTTAATTTCTTCCCAGTGTCCTTTTTCTGTTTCAGTATCCCATCCAGGATATTACACTATATTTAGTTATCATGTGGTGGTTTCTCAGACTTTCCTGTTTTTTAAATTTATAATTCCCTTATTGGAGTGAATTTAAAGTGTACCATTTAGAGATTGTGTATTCATGAAGTTCTGTAACCACTAGCACTATCTAATCCCAGGACATTTTCATCACCCCAAGAAGAAACCCTGTACCTCTTAGCAGTCACTCCCCATTCCCTCCTCCCCTCAGCCTCTGGCAACTACTAATCTACCTTGTCTTTATGGATTTCCCTACTCTGGACATTTCATATCATTGGAATCATAGAATATGGGGCCTTTTGTGTCTGGCTTCTTTCAGTTAGCATGATGTTTTAAAGCTTCATTCACATTGTAGCATGAATTAGTATTTCATTCCTTTATATGGCTGCATAATATTCCATTGCATTGGATATACCAAATTTTATCCATTCATCAATTGTTGGACATTTGGGTTGTTCCACTTTTTGCCTATTAGGAATAATGCCTCTGTGACCATTTGTGTGCAAGTTTTTGTGTAAACATATGTCTTCAATTCTCTTGGGTATATAGCTAAGAGTGGAATTGCTAGGTCATATGGTAACTCTATGCTTAACATTTTGAGGAAGTGACAGTTTTCCAAAGTGGCTGCGTCATTTTACACTCCCACCAGCAATGCTGTGAAAGTTCTGATTTCTCCACATCCTCATCAACACTTGTTTTGTCTGTCTTTGCTCATAGCCATCTTAGTGGGTGTGAAATGCTATTTCATTGTGGTTTTGATTTGCGCTTCCCTAATTGAGTGTTGAGTATTTTTTCATGTGCTTCTTGGCCATTTGTATATCTTCTTTGTATTCAAATCCTTCACCCATTTTAAAATTGGCTTATTTTTTTTTATTGTGGAGTCTATTACTTATTCTGAATACTAGATCCTTATCACATATATGATTTGTAATATTTTCTCCCATTCTGTGGATTGTGTTTTCACTTTTTTCTTTATAACAGCTTTATTGAGATACAATTCACATGTCACACAATTTACCATTAAAATGTACAATTTCTTTAGTATAGTGAAAGAGTTATACAACCATCACCCTCATTTTTTTGATAGTGTCCTTTGAAACACAAAAGTTATTAATTTTGATGAAGTCCAATTTATCAGTTTTTTCTTTGGTTGCTTGTGTTTTGGTGTCATTCATATTTAAGAAACCACTGACTAACCCAAGATCATGAAGATTTACTCCTACGTTTTCTTCTAAGAGTTTTCTAGTTTTAACTCTTACATTTAGATCTATGATCCATTTTTTTTTTTTTTAAAGATTGGCACCTGAGCTAACATCTGTTGCCAATCCTTTTTTTTTCTTCTCCTCCCCATAGAACTGCCCCCCCCCCCCCAATACATAGTTGTATATTCTAGTTGTGCTATGTGGGATGCCGCCTCAGCACGGCTTGATGAGCGGTGCCATGACTGCACCCAGGATCTGAACCAGGAAAACCCTGGGCCACTGAAGCGGAGCATGTGAACATAACCACTCTGCCACAGGGACAGCCCCTGTGATCCATTTTGAGCTAACTTTTATATATGGTGTAAGGTAGGGATCCAACTTCATTCTTTTGCATGGGAATATCCAGTTGTCCCAGCACCATTTGTTGAAAAGACTATTCTTTCCCCATTTAATTGTCCCGGCACCCTTGTCAAAAATCAATTGACTATAAATGTATAGGTTTATTTCTGGATTCTTGATTCTATTCCATTGATCTAAATGTCTATTTTTATACCAGTAAGACACAGGGTTGATTTCTGTAGGTTTGTACTAAGTTTTGAAATCAGAACATGTTAGTCTTCCAACTTAGTTCTTTTTTTCCAAGATTGGTTTGGCTACCTGGGTCCCTTACATTTTCCTATGAATGTTAAGAAACTTAAAGAAACCTCCAAATTGTCTTCTACGGTGGCTGCACCATTTTGATTTCCACCAGCAATGAATAAGAGTCCTGTTGCTCTGCATCCTCATCAACATTTGGCATTGTCAGTTTTTTTGGATTTCAGCCATTCTGATAAGTGTGTAGTGGTATCTCATTGCTTTTTTACCTTGCATTCCCTAATGACAAATGGTGTCAAACATCTCTTCACATGCTCATTTGTCAAGTGCATCTTTCCTTTGGTAAGGTGTCTCTGTTCATATCTTTTGCCCACTTTTTCATTGGCTTGTTTTTTTTCTTCTTGTTGAGTTTTAAGACTGCTTTATATATTTTGCATACAAGTGCTCTCTCAGATATGTGTTTGCAAATTTTTCTCTGAGCCTGTGGCTTATCTTCTCATTCTCTTAATTGCTGAATATTTCATATAAAAAAACCCTCTGGGTAAGCTTTAACAATGCACCTGCTTAGAAACCATCAAAGATTCAAGGCTGCTTTTTTGTGAATTACAAAAAGGGATTCCCTCTGGAAAGATCCAGAACACAGTAAAGAAGTGTATTTGGATTTCAGCCCCCATCCACCCCATTCGCGAGTGCCTTTGTGCAAGCTGCACAGCTGCATTGCAAGAACCCACATTGATCTTAAGTGTATCCTTAATACACTCACAGAACCTTTCATGATAGGGCTTCTGCCTGTTCTCCAGCTACATATCTCATCCTTCTACCCTTCCTCTCTAGACCCACAAAAACCTTATTTCAGCAACTTCAAGAGCTTTGCTTCCAGCCTCAAGACTTTCATGTTTCCTCTGCCAGAGTGGCAGGCTGACTTTTAAGATGGTCCCCAATGATCCTCACCTCCTGGTATTCACGGCCTTGTGTGGTCCCCTCCCCTTGAGAGTGGGCTGGACCTTGTGACTTACTTTTAATTAATAGAATAGAGCAAAAGTGATGGAATATCAGTTCCAACATTAGCTTGTAAGAGACTGTAACTTCTGTCTTGCTTGCACTCTCTTACTCTCTTACTTGTTTACTCTGATGAAGCTGTTTATGGAGAGGCTCATGTGGTAAAGAATTAGGGAGGCATTGAGCCAACAGCTTACAAGGAGCTGAGTCCTCAGTCCAACAGCCTACAAGAAACAACCCTGCCAACAACCACTTGGGTCATATTGGGAGCAGATCAACCCCCAGTTGAACCTTTAGATGACTTCAGCCCTAGTTGATGCTTTGATTGAAATGTTTTGAGAGACTGAGAGTCAGAGGATTCAGTTAAACTGCACCCGCATGCCTGACCCACAGAAACTCTAAGAGAATAAATGTTACTGTTTTAAGCCACCAGGTTTTGCAGTAATTTGTTACACAGCAATAGATAGCTGATACACGCAGGAACAGTCCCCTCCTTACTTCCCACCTCTCTAACTCCTATATGTCTTCAAGTCTCAGATTTAAATGTCACTTCCTTAGGGATGATTTCCCCTTCTCCTGTCTGTCTTCCCCGAGACTGTCAGTGCCAAGTCAGAGCAGACTATATTTTTTCCACACTGAATTCCCAGCATCATGTGGTGCCCAGCACAGGGTGGGAATACAGTAATGTACAGAATGAAAAAATGAATAAATAAATGAACAAATTAATAAATGAAGTACACCAAAGCTTCACAGTCCAGAGAAGAACAGAGCAAAGCCCAGCGCTCTAGCCAAGACAGTTGCAGAAGTCTGACAATTCCCAGGCTTTATTTTTTTAAATACCAAAAAACAAAAACAAAAATAAAAATAAAACCATGTCAACATATTCTAGATAAAAATTTGTAACAACAGAGTGGGTTATAACAAAATTTTCTACATAAATAAAAAGTCCAACAAAGGTTAGCTCTTAGTCCAGGATTTTCATAAAAACTTGGCAGCTATAACAGGAATTGACCTGGATACTAAAGAATGAGCGAATGAAGGCAGGGCATGTATCACAGAATTTGCTCCACATTATCACTCGGCTGGAGCTGGTGTTCCTCTGCTCTTGATATTAAATCTGGGAAAGTATCCAGTTTTTTCTGAAATGAATGAATTTTTAGCTAAATGCTAAAAGGAGGATTTTGAAGTTTGAGGATAAAACTGTGGCCACAGAAAGATAAATTCAGTCCAGTTGTTTTAATTGGCTAAACTCCTACAGGACTTTTTAAATAATAAACTTCTATGATCAGCACCTCAGTACAGTATTCCACCTGGTTTCATTAGTGATTCCTGATCTTCACTGCCTCCAGATAGCATCCAACACATGCCCTAGAGGGACATCCAGGGCTTAGCTGGCTTTTCCAGCTCGCTCTGCTAATGTACCCTATGGCACGCATGCACCCTGCTCTTACCATTTCTCAGTCACCAGGCACACTTTTTCATCTCTGTGACTTTGCATGTGTTCTTGCTCTGACTCAAGTCCCCCTTCAGTGCCACCTTACCCCTGAGAAGCCACATTCAAGTCAGAACACTCCAGGGCCCCCGGAAGTGACAGCTCTTCCGCCCTGTCCTCTCAGGGCCCTTGGTCTTTAGCTCACTTGTGGCCTCTCACATGTCAGCACTGTATTGTGAGCAGGTGTGTATTTGATTTGTCTTCTCTACCACCCAGACCTGGAGGATACGGTCTCTGTCTTGACGATCATTTTTCCCTCCATAACCCAGCACATAGCTTGAAGGGAGCAGGGGCTTAATATGCATTTGTTGTTAAATGAACAAATGAAAGAATGAATGAAGCATATATGCTAAAAAGGCTTTTAAATAAGTCAGATACACTTTATATCCCAGTGCCAACAATAATATAGCCATAGAAAGAGATTTAATGTTAAAAACATTCTAATTTGCCTCTTTATGAAATTTTGTTTTCAAATGTGGCAAAGATACTCTCTCATAAAGCAAAAATGAACTTAGAAATGAATAAACAGAATGTTTTTTCACTAGTGCACTAGAACATTGGCTAAAAGTTTTAATACATTACTGTAAATAGTCACAGAGAAGCCCAGGAAGTAAGTAAAGAGCAAAGCAAACTATTAAATACAGGAAAATGAGCTTTTCAAGAGATTTCTGGAATTCTTTAATAGTCTATTGTTGAACTTTTAGCAAAGTGATTTCAACAATTTTAAAAGTTTAATAACAACAAATATTAGTCCTACATAAAGTGATTAAGTCAAAGTAGTTTACTTCAAACACAGAGACTTAGTTCCAGAAATGGAATGTGCCAGATTGTTTCGGGAATGTTGTTTGAAAGGATAGTGCTCTCATGACTAAGTCCAGTGTATCCTGAATCTTCATGTTATTTCTTTCTACCAGGGAAGGATGTCTCCCAGATGGTTTCATGTTTTCTTCTGGTTCAAGGGGGAGAAGAGTATGGGGATTGAACAGACATCGAGGCTCCCCCAGGATGCCAACTCTGTGAAAAGAATTATCGGCAGAGCTGAAGCAGTGAGGCCAAAGACTAAGGTGAATGATTGTGTGTGTGTGTGTGTGTGTGTGTGTGTGTACTAAAGCTAAGACTCACAAACACACACACACACCTATTTTTATTTTATTTCTTTGAACATTCCCCTGTTTCTACGAACGACCACTATGCTCTTAATTATGGGTTCAAAACCTCAGCCCATAGCAAGATTTTGTATTGCCCCTTCCCACATTTCCCAAAGATGATTCTTCTAATGGAAAAACATCAGCCTTATAAAGTCTGCTACTCACTCCTCCAAATTAGAACTATTTGAAGTCTAGCATAACTTTCTAGTAATTTTTTCTAGTCTAGATGGGTGCACCAAGAGCTGCCCTGGAAAGGAAACAGGTGGAGAGGAGCAGGGGATGGGGAGAAAGGCTGTGCTTCCATCTGTGTGCACCGGTCTGGCAGAGGCGTGGAATGTGAGCCCCTGCCCCTCCCAGGCCCAACCTGGGCAGCGACGCTCAGGCTCCCCTTTCCCTCTCCTCGGGCCACTTACACTGGCATGGGCACAGAGTCCAGACTGTCCATGTGCTCCTGCATCTGGGCTGGGAGTTTGATGCTTCCTTGATGATACTTTTTCTCAAAGATACTCTGAGCTTTTTCTCTGAGAGATGGCAGCAGAGTTGACATGACTGGAGAGCGCATGTTAATGGCTTTTTTAATCGCTGGGCGCTTTGCCATCATTCTCCTGTGGGGAAAGAAAGGTGACATTTGGATCACATCATCTTGTTTTCTAGAAATGTCCTTGAGCTCCGGAAAGTCAAAAGATCATACCTGAATTGTACAAAGGTCATGCGTTTCTTTTCCCCTCCTGATTCTTCTTCCTCTCGCTTCCTTCGAGGGATGTTGAACATACTGGTACGAAAGAGCCTCCCTATTTCTTCCTCAATCTCTACGAAGTGCTGACGTCGGAAGACAATCCAAGCTACATATGTACAGAAAGTGAAAAAGGACTACAACAGAAAAGAGACAAGAATCACAACCCACAGCCAGATGAAAAGCTCCCACCTGTCTTTAGAACACTGCTAAGTAGACGTAAACCCAGAGGACCCAATTTCTCAAAGTTCCTGAAAAGCTGTGGAAAATTACACATGTACTCACCTTTGCAGGAGTAAAATCAGGCCAAAAATTTAAGGTGTGGCATGCAGCTTGTTAGCATCCTTTTTAGAAAGAATATTCACTAAAAATAAGTGCCTGACAAACAGCTATTGGTGATTGCTATACGTCATGTTTCACACCAAAGAGAGAAGCCCCCAAACGTAAGTGACTTACCTCAAAGAACTTCCAGTCTTTTTGCGTATCTGATATTTTCTCCCTGCAACACAACAAATCACAACCATTGGTTGAGAGGGAGGCACAATTTTTCAGGGATCCAGGTAATAAGCCCTTATCTTCAAAAGGCCAAGACTATTTAGCCACATAAATACGATCAAAAGTCATTGATGATGAGCCCCAATATCTTTTCCTTCAACTTCTTAGGTTACCCAGATCAAAACCCCTAGAGTGTTTGGTCAAAACTTAATCAATATAAATTCAAGATAAGCAAGCGAGGAAATGTATTTTTCCAAATGCTTCTGGTGATCTGAGTGTTGGGCAGGTGAGGGGAGTGGAAAGGTGGTGAAGTGGTAAGACGAGGTATGGAAGTAAAGAACTAGAGGGTAAGTCTAAAGTGAAGAAAAAGAAAAAATCTTGAATAATGGTTATGGCTATGGAGTGCAAAAAGAAACAGAAACAAAACGGACAAAGGTCTATGCCATGCAATTGACTGGGACAGTAGTGAGCTCTCCCTTCTGAATGAGGTATGTAGACTGAGCCTTGTCTCTTAAAGGCAGGCATTGGCCCAAGAGTTCTTGCAACACAAATTCAATGCTAAGGATACTGTACTGGCATGGGCATGCTTAGTGGCTCTGGCCTCCCCTCCCCAACACGGGCCATTCTGATTCTGATTCCCAGCCTTAGGAAAGCAGGCATGGCCTAGGGAGGACTTGAGAGTTGATGAGTTGATGGCGAGGGCTGTGCACCTGCAGTCATGGGATCAGTCTTGGGGACCAAGGTTGCACCCAGGGCACTCCAAGGTTGATCCTGGGTTTGCTTCTGCTTTTGCTTAGGCCTTCCTCAGAGTAACTGACTCCTAGAATTGGCCTCGGTATCAAACGCTCCAGAACTGCCCTGAACTCCCAGGGTCTGGGAAACACGACTCAAAATCCTCAGGACCTCCAGCCTTCTCACAGAGACTTCATGGTCCGTATGGGCCCAAACTAGCCCTCTATTTGGGGGAACCATTGAAGAGGTGGGTCAGCTTTTACTGGAGTAGGTCCCTCCCTTCCTGCAGACTCTTCATTTACAGACTCGTGTGCAAGTCAACAAAGAATTAAGGCAATAGTTATTACAGTGAGCATTTACTAAGTGTGGACTATGCGCCCAGTACTATGCTAAGCTCTTTGCATTGATTATGTTTAGTTCTCATAAGATCCCTATGATGTAGTCAGTATTGTTATTCCCACTTTACAGTTGAGGAAACTGAGGTTGAGACTGAAGTTCAAAGACATATTTAATTAGGTGCAGAGTCTGTACTAAAACTCGGGCCTGTCAGATCTCCACATTTATTTTCATAACCAGAACACTAGGGAAACAAGCTTTTCCTTTAGCATATTTTGCAGATAAAAATATTAAGCCACAGAGCCCATCAGAAACTTTTCAGGACAAGCCTGAGTCCTTCTGTGCCACCTGAAGCCTCAACCTGACAGGGTGCACATGTGGAATTTCCGCTCTTCCATGGCCTCTGCCAGCTGAAACCAGAGACCAGGCAGACCTGCCAAGCTGAAGCAGACACCACCAGACTCTGTTTTTGGAATACCAAGTCAGCTTGCATTCTGGGAGGTTCAGAGCAGCGCTTACATTGGCACAACCTAAAGCAGCACCATCTTAGCAAGGTTTTGTGAAACGACAGAATGATTGCCCAGGAAACCCACACTTTCTCTCCTTCTCTTTTCTTTCGCTCTTTTTTTAAACATTAGAAGGTACCATGAACCTCCTCCCCTTTTCCTCAAGTTGCCATAAAACTAGGACTTCTTTCTCTCTTCCAGCCCAAAGCAAACCGGCACAGGCGCACTGCAGAAATGAAACACAGAGGGTGGCGGGTTTCTTCATCCCACTCGGATTTGGCTCTGCATATGAAACGGAAATGAGGCCAGGAAACGGAGGCAGAGAATGAGGACATTTGGGGACCTCACAGTTTAAATCTGCAAATTCATATCTTGATGGTAGATTTTGAGCCATTTTTTTTTCTTCCTTCCTTTTTTTATCTTATAATTCTTATATTAAGTACACCATAATTATAAATCGATCATAAATTTAGAAGTTTACTGAGTATAAATAACAAATTTAAGCCCCCCAAATCCTCTACGAATTGAAACAGGATTTATAACAGCACAACAGCACAATAGAAATATAATGCAAGCCACAAATATAATTTAAAATTTTCTAGTAGCCACAGTAAAAAGAAACAGGTAAAATTAATTTTAATAATATATTTATTGTATCCAAACCCCCAAAATATTATCATTTCAATATGTAATCAACATTTTAAAATTATTAATGAGATATTTTATTCATTTTAAAACTTTTTTGTATAGTGTATATTTTACACTTACAGCACATTTCAGTATGGACCAGCACATTCCAAGTGCTCAATAGCCAACGTGGCAAACGGCTACCGTGCTGGTCAGCAGAGACGCTGTGCATTCCACCTGTGAGGGCAGAATCTGAAGGAAAGAGGGAAAAGCCAGCCTGGTGGTGAATCCAGAGATCTTCTGTGGCCTGGTATGATGCTTTCTTATTCCTTCTTACTACATAAGACACTTAGCTCTAAACCAAAATGAGGAAAGTATAGCACATTTTTAGTCTTTCCTGAAGGCATGCAAAGCCTAGGCCAAGCCCATGCGGTTCTGGGCTGGGGAGAAAAAAAGCTGTGCTCCCATTTGCTCCTTGCAGCTTTAAGTGAAATCAGGTTTAAATCAGAGTCAAAGCATGCTCTGCAGAGGGGAAGAGAAATTTCAAAGGAATGTGCTTGGGGGAGGGGAAAGAGGCCTTGGTGCCCGTGACTGGGGGTGAGGTGGGGAACGGGTTAAGGATGATTTACACACCTGAGCTTCAGAGACGCCTTTCCCCCCATCTTCACCCACACCGCCAGCCTCTTTGGTCCGCCGTCAGGTGACAGCTACACTGACAGCGGAAAAGGAGGGTATGAGTCCTAAAGCAGAGGTGGGAGTGGAGCCAGAATTGGCCATAACCAAAGGCCAGATCTAACTCTAGGGCATGCACCATGAGGAGGTTTTCTTATCTATCCTGGAAACACAGAGAGCTTTCACCGAACATGTTCATCAAAATTTTGCCAAAGCTTTGTGATATCAGGGCGTCACAGATGTAGTCAGAAGAAAAAGGCACGTCCTCCTACTTCTCACGAAACATGAAAGCACGAAATGAACAGCCCCTAATTGCTGTTTCTACTGAATCCTTAATTTAACTCCAGAGTTAAATGGCATAAGGTGTTCTAGTCCAATTTTAAGTGTGCATGTATTAGAGAGAAAAGTCAGAAAATACACACGAAAATGTTCTCATGAGAATATTCACATTTCGAGGGAGGAAGTAAAATAATACTATGTTAAAATCAGTCAATAACTCATAACTGGCAAAAACATTGTCCTCATCTTCTCCTAGACAGAAACAACCAAAAGAACATTAAGAGCTCCATTCAAGAACATAATCAACACCCGTGGTCAGTTAAGAACTTTTACAGGAGAAACATGCTGTAGTCTGTTTTCCTCGATATCCTCTGTTCAGCTCTTTGACCTGCACGGAATTTGCTGTGTGAATGGTGGGTGGAGAGCTCCACACTGATTCTTTTCCACACTGCCATCCAACAGGCAGGTGGAAAGCAGGCGATGTTGCGTCCAATGGCCCAAAGACAACATCTCCTGGAAATGAGCTGGTGCGAAACTAAAGCAATCACTTACTTTCAAACACCATGAGTTCCTTTAAAATTTGCATAAAAATTACATTGTAATGAAAATGTACTGGTAAAAGTATAATAACTTAAGTGGAGGTTCTATACCCAGGGAACTAAAAGATACAATAATGTCTCTAATTATGATATAATTATTAATAGTTTGATCTTTTTATCCTAAAATTAGTTTGCAATATATATGTTTTTAAAGATTAAACGTTAAGGGGGTCAGCCTGGTGGTGTAGCAGTTAAGTTTGCACGCTCCACTTCAGCAGCCCAGGATTTGCAGTTCAGATCCCGGTCATGGACCTAGCTCTGCTCGTCAAGCCACTCTGTGGCGGCATCCCACATAAAATAGAGGAAGATTGGCACAGATGTTAGCTCAGTGACAATCTTCCTCACAAAAAAAAAGATTAAACATTAAGTATGGGCAATAAAATTTCTTTTTTGAGTAGTTGTTTTTTTAACCTTGTAATGGACCGAATGTCTGTGTCCTCTGACCCCAAATTCGTATGTGGAGGTCCTAACAACTCCCAGTGTGATGGTATTTGGAGGTGTGGCCTTTGGGAGGTCATTAGGTTTGATGAGATCATGAGGGTAGGGTCCTCATGATGGGATTTGTTCCTTTTAAGAAGAGGGAGAGAGGGGCCGGCCTGTGGCCAAGTGATTAAGTTCACGTACTGGGCTTCAGTGGCCCATGGTTTCACTGGTTCGAATCCTGGGCGCGGACTTGGCACCGCTCATTAGGCCATGCTGAGGTGGCATCCCACATGCTGCAATGAGAAGGACCTACAATTCGAATATACAACTATGTAGTGGGGGGCTTTGGGGAGAAAAAGCAATTAAAAAAAAAAAAGAAGATTGGCAAAAGTTGTTAGCTCAGGTGCCAATCTTTAAAAAAAAAAGAAGAAGGAAGAGAGATTAGGGCTCTATCTCTACCACAGAGGCCCCAGCGAGAAGGCAGCTGTCTGCACGCCAGGAGGAGGGCCCTCCCCAGAACCTGACCATGTTGGTAGATCAAGGGATCTCCGACTTGCAGCCTTCAGCTGGGGAACTATGAGAAAATAAATTCCAGTGGTTTAAGCCATCTAGTCTGTGGTAATTTGTTACGGTAGCCCAAGCTGACAAATACAAACCTCAAATTCCAGTTTTCTCAATTTGAAGTGACACTTTGAAGACAAAAGAGATTAGAGTTAATGTTGAGAAAAGGTGATTTTACAAGTGATTGAATAGAAAATTGTGAAGCAGACTCTAATTTTCTTCTAATAGCTTTCTTGAAAATTTTGTCAAGAGAAAATATCCCTTTTCCTAAATAGCGGGGTCTGTAACAAGCTGACGTCCTACCAATAGCTCCAGGGACCTGCAAAGGCCTCCTATATTTGGACCACAGGAAATTTTTTTTTTATTGAGGTTATGATAGTTTACAACCTTGTGAAATTTCAATTATACATTATTATAGGTGCACATATTATAGGTGCACAACTTCACCCTTTGTGCCTACCCCCTGACCCCCTTTCCCCTGGTAACCACTAATCTGTTCTCTTTGTCCACGTGTTTGTTTATCCTCCACATATGAGTGGAGTCATAGAGAGATTGTCTTTCTCTGTCTGGCTTATTTCGCTTAACATAATACCCTCAAGGTCCATCCATGTTGTTGTGAATGGGAACATTTTATCCTTTTTTATGGCTGACTAGTATTCCAGTGTATGTATATATATATATATATATATATATATATATATATATATATATATATATATATATATATATATATATACCATATCCTCTTTATCCAACCATCAGTCGATGGGCACTTAGGTTGCTTCCACGTCTTGGCTATTATGAATAATGCTGCCATGAAGACAGGGGTGCATGGGTCTCTTTGAATTGCTGATTTCAAGTTCTTTGGATAGATACCCAGTAGTGGGATGGCTGGATCATATGGTATTTCTATTTTTAATTTTTTGAGAAATCTCCATACTGTTTTTCATAGTGGCTGCACCAGTTTGCATTCCTACCAGCAGTGGATGTGGGTTCCTTTTTCTCCACAACCTCTCCAGCATTTGTTACTTTTTGTTTTGGTTATTTTAGCCATTCTAACGGGGGTAAGGTGATATCTTAGTGTAATTTTGATTTGCATTTCCCTGATGATCAGCGATGATGAGCATCTTTTCATGTGCCTATTGGCCATCCATATATCTTCTTTGGAGAAATGTCTGTTCATGTCCCCTGCCCATTTTTTGATTGCGTTGTTTGATTTTTTTTGTTGTTGAGTTGTGTGAGTTCTTTATATATTATGGGATTAAGCCTTTGTTGGATATATGATTTGCAAATATTTTTTCCTAATTGGTGGGTTGCTTTTTGGTTCAATCCTGTTCTCCCTTGCCTTGAAGAAGCTCTTTAGTCTGATGAAGTCGCATCTGTTTATTCTTTCTACTGTTTCCCTTGTCTGAGAAGACATGGTATCTGAAAAGATCCTTTTGAATACTGATGTCAAAGAGTGTACTACCTATATTTTCTTCTAGAAGTCTTATGGTTTCAGGTTTTACCTTTAAGTCTTTGGTCCATTTTGAGTTTATTTTTGCAAATGGTGAAAAAGAATGGTCAATTTTCATTATTTTATATGTGGCTGCCCAGTTTTCCCAACACCATTTGTTGAAGAGACTTTCTTTTCATTATTGTATGTTCTCAGCTCCTTCATTGAAGATTAGCTGTCCATAGATGTGTGGTTTTATTGCTGGGCTTTCAATTCTGTTCCATTGATCTGTGTGCCTATTTTTGTACCATGCTGTTTTGATTACTGTAGCTTTGTAGTATGTTTTGAAGTCAGGGATTGTGATGCCTCCAGCTTTGTTCTTTTTCCTCAGGATTGCTTTAGGCATTCGGGGTCTTTTGCTGACTCATATGAATTTTAGCATTCTTTGTTCTATTCCTGTGAAGAATGTCATTGGGATTCTGATTGGGATTGCATTGAATCTGTAGATTGCTTTAGGTAGTATGGACATTTTAATAATGTTTATTCTTCCAATCCATGCGCATGGAATGTCTTTCCATCTCTTTATGTCATCATCAATTTCTTTCAGGAAGGTCTTGTAGTTTTCATTGTATAGGTCTTTCACTTCCTTGGTTAAATTTACCCCAAGGTATTCGATTCTTTTTGTTGTGATTGTGAATGGGATTGTGTTCTTGAATTCTTTTTCTGTTAGTTTGTCATTAGAGTATAGAAATGCTACTGATTTATGTATGTTAATTTTATACCCTGCAACTTTGCTGTAGCTGTTGATTATTTCTAATAGTTTTCCTATGGATTCTTTGGGTTTTTCTATATATAAGATCATGTCGTCTGCAAACAGTGAGAGTTTCACTTCTTCATTGCCTATCTGGATTCCTTTTATTTCTTTTTCTCGCCTAATTGCTCTGGCCAAAACCTCCAGGACCATGTTGAATAAGAGCGGAGAGAGTGGACACCCTTGTCTCATTCCTGTTGTCAGAGGGATGGCTTTCAGTTTTTGCCTATTGAGTATGATGTTGGCTGTGGGCTTGTCATATATGGCCTTTATTATGTTGAGGTACTTTCCTTCTATACCCATATTATTGAGAGTTTTTATTATAAATGGATGTTGGATCTTGTCAAATGCTTTCTCTGTGTCTATTGAGATGATCACGTGGTTTTTGTTTCTCATTTTGTTAATGTGGTATATCGCATTGACTGACTTGCAGATGTTAAACTATCCCTGTGTTCCTGGTATAAATCCCACTTCATCATGGTGTATGATCTTTTTAATGTATTGCTGTATTCAGTTTGCCCAAATTTTGTTGAGGATTTTTGCATCTATGTTCATCAGTGACATTGGCCCGTAGTTCTCCTTCTTTGTGTTGTCCTTGTCTGGTTTTGGGATCAGGGTGATGTTGGGCTCATAGAAAGTGTTAGGAAGTGCTCCTTCTTCCTCAATTTTATGGAATAGTTTGAGAAGGATAGGTATTAAATCTTCTTTGAATGTTTGGTAGAATTCTCCAGAGAAGCCATCTGGTCCTGGACTTTTATCTTTTGGGAGGTTTCTGATTACTATTTCAATCTCTTTACTTATGATTAGTCTATTTGGGTTCTCTATTTCTTCCTGATTCAGTTTTAGGAGGTTGTAAGAGTCTAAGAATTTATCCATTTCTTCTAGGTTGGCCAATTTGTTGGCATACAGTTTTTCATAGTATTGTCTTATAATCTTTGTATTTCTGTGGTATCCATTGTGATTTCTCCTCTTTCATTTCTGATTTTATTTATTTGAGTCTTCCCTCTTTTTTTTCTTAGTGAGCCTGGCTAAGGGTTTGTCAGTTTTGTTTATTTCTCAAAGAACCAGCTCTTTGTTTCACTGACCCTTTCTACTGTCTTTTTTGTTTCGATTTCATTTATTTCTGCTCTAATTTTTATTTCCCTCCTTCCACTGACTTTGGGCTTTGTTTGTTCTTCTTTTTCTAATTCTGTTAGGTGTAGTTTGAGATTGCCTATTTGAGATTTTTCTTGTTTATTGAGGTTAGCTTGTGTTGTGATGAATTTCCCTCTTACGATCACTTTTGCTGCATCCCAAATGAGTTGGTATGGTGTGTTTTCATTTTCATTTGTCTCCAGATTATATCTGATTTCTCCTTTAATTTCTTCAATGATCCATTTGTCCTTCAGTAGCATGTTGTTTAATCTCCACATCTTTGCCCCTTTCCCAGCTTTATTCTTGTAATTTATTTCCAGTTTCATAGCATACGGTCAGAAAAGATGCTTGATATTATTTCAATACTCTTAAATTTGTTGAGGCTTGCTTTGTTTCCCAACATATGGTCTATCCTTGAGAATGTTCCATGAGCACTTGAGAAGAATGTGTAACCTGCTGGTTTTGGATGGAGTGTTCTATATATATCTGTAAAGTCCATCTGGTCTAGTTTTTCATTTAATTCTACAATTTCCTTGTTGATTTTCTGTCTGGATGATCTATCCATTGGTGTTAGTGGGGTGTTGAGGTCCCCTACTATTATCGTATTGTTGTTGATATCTCCTTTTAGTTTCATTAATAGCTCCTTTATGTACTTTGGTGCTCCTGTGTTGGGTGCATATATATTTATAAGTGTTACGTCTTCTTGATGGAGTGTCCCTTTTATCATTATAAGCTGCCCCTCTTTATCTCTCTTTACCTGTTTTGCCTTGAAGTCTACTTTGTCTGATATAAGTATGGCAACACTTGCTTTCTTGTGTTCACTATTCTTGTGTTCACACTTGGAGTATCATCTTCCATCCCTTCACTCTGAGTCTGTGTTTGTCTTTGGGACTGAGGTGTGTTTCCTGGAGGCAGCATATTGTTGGGTCTTCTTCTTTAATCCATCCTGCCACTCTGTGTCTTTTGATTGGAGAATTCAGCCCATTTACATTTAAAGTGATTATTGAAATGTGGGGGCCTAATGCTGCCATTTTATTGCTCATTTTCCAGTTCTCCTGCATTTCCTTTGTTTCTTGTCCCGTGAATTTCGGACTACCAATTCAGTTAGGTAGCTTTCTATGTTGGTGTTCTTCTTATTTGTAATTTGTGTCTCTGTTCTAATTATTTATTTAGTGGTTATGTATAAAACATCTCATAGATGAGACAG